CACGCACGCACGGACGGACGGACGGAAGGACGGACGGACGGACGGACGGACGGACGAACAAAGAAAGAAAAGAGAAAGAAACACTGAGACAAAGAAAGAAAGATAGATTGATAGAACAAATTCAATTCAAAGAAGAAAGTTATTCTTGTTTTAAATATTACAGAGCATTAATCGACTAGACGTTGATGTTGCTTTAGTTTGCTACTCCTTATCCTGGCCAATATTTATATGATCATATAACTTGATCATATCAACAGATACTTTCTCCCCTGCAATTAATCCTCGTTAACCAAGTTGGCTTAGTTGGTTGAGCGTTGGTCTGTGGTGCGGGAGGTTATTGGCTAAATCCTTGGCAAAAACAATGATATTCAGGATTTTCAAATAACTGAGGATAAAGTGTTACCTTTGTAATACATCGATCTCTATAATCGGGTTAAACTATGGAGTTGCTTTCTTGACCATGTTTACTAATCCATGGAGATGGTGGTCCCGTCGTTCTCTCCAACTTTCAATGTTAACTGACAAATTTAAAAAACCTCGATGCATTTTTTTTCAAATAACTTTCATATCCTGTGAGCAATGGTCGTATATTCAACTGCAAAATTATCGCATTTTTCAAATATATTCGTAGGATGATAAAACACAGAGAAATTATGACCGAAAAGAATTATCGTAAACTGGCAAATGAAGTAACCCGTCTGAATAAAACCTCAAACAATTTATATTTTACATTTTTCGTTAAGCGGGATAATTTACTATACGACAAATAATTTGGTTAATAGACCTTTATAGCTTCGTTTATTGTTGTGCACATTCCAAACCACGTGATGCCACTTTTGGAATTTGATTCTTTCATGTATAAATATTTTAACATGTTCGTCATAAAAGAACAATTCTCAAGGGAATATCATGTGATCTGAAATGTGCAATCTGCATACGAATCTAAAAAGGCCTATTGGGTCTCCTTTTTTACCGCCATATTAACGCCAACGCGTTTTGATTGGATGAAATGCACGAAAATGACTGGAAGCCATGTCTGTGTCCATGTCTATGCTGCGATATTTCGGGTCGGGTACCGTAAGAAAGTATATCGGATACATTTCTCACTCGTATGAAAACCGTACCGTGTTGTGATTGAATGAAACGGACCAAAGCGACAGCAAGGAACCATTTCCATGCTACGGTATGTTGCATCGCGTATGTGCCGTACGTCATGATTTCCAAATATTTTTTAAAAATATTTGATTATCGTGTATTAACTAAAAGTGCGTGCTTATCATGAATTACGATGTGACATGAGTGCTAAATGTAACAATTTTAATGCATTTATATTAAATTGGTATTACTTACTAGAGACAAAAGTATCAAAAACATGAACATAAAGAAGTGAGCAGTTACAAAAGACAAAAAAAAAACATTAGTCAAGCCTTTTCCCCTTTAAAACTTTCTTCGACGAAGGAGTTTTACATTGCTAACTGAACATCGAAGCTATCAAAGCTAAAATTCAAAGCAAAAACCAATAAACAACACACAACAACAACAACAACAACAACAACAAAACACGGCGCTAAAGCAAAGCAAGAAAGCAAGAAAGAAAGAAAGAAAGAAAGAAAAAGGAATGAAAAAAGAAATACTTGGATATGCTTACACGTCGGTGCAGACAATCCTAGCCTTGCAGTCTTCTGATCTTAAGGAAAATTTGAATTGTCGTTGGTAGACCTATATAGCAAAAATTTTTAAAAAACAGGAAAGATGTAATCAAATGTCAAACTGATTATAGGTTAATTATTTAGATATAATCGCAGAAAATCTCGATCAAATAATAGATTATAATGCAGTAAACTTGAATAAATATAGATATTGCTAGTTTATTATAGTTAGTATTAAAAGAGTGAACTACAATACAGAAACCAGTGTGTTAGCTCGCTTGGATTTTAACTATAAGGTCTTCGGAAAAGTGGAAGAGACCAAATGCTAAGGCATCAATAAAAAAAACAAACCACAGCCTTGTTTCAAATTCCCTTGAAGATTTGCTACAATATTCAAGTCTCAAAAAGCCGGAGCTGATACAAAAATCCTGACGGCAGACGATAAGATCTACATAGATCTAGGTTGTTTTTGCAAGATACGAATGCTAAAGAAGCTTTGTAAGGAAGCGGTTTGCGACAAAGACAACTACCGACTAATTATTTGTCATTATCGATCATTCAAAATCGTTTTATCTCAAGAAATCGAAAAACAAATCGTTTTTCCAAAAATTATATCAAAGAGTGCGTGCGACATTCATTAGTGGTCAAACATTCTGGCTATTTTAGCTGAGTAGTTCAGTTACCTTTTTGGACTAATCATTCAGCATTTATATGTATGTATTTTGGTATTATCCTGCTGACACCAACGGTGTTCTTAAGGGAAGGCTGGTCCATGAAGCGAACGGCAATAGAGCCGGAAAGGTCCTGTTTCATCAGCACCCAAGGTGCACTAGACATTTTTGCGGTCGCTTGGAATTGGAATTAACATCTGTTAGGAGAATGAGCCGACAGAGACTTTATTTTGTCTTCTGGGTATTTTTATTTTCCTTTTGCGCAGATTGGGTTCATCGAATTATGATGAACGAACGATGTTATCTTTTCAATCTATAGAGGATCCATTCACTTTTACAAGCCAGCCTGACCACTTGGATTCTCAACGATGCCTCGAGGTTAAACTGGAAAATGAGTCTTTTTCTCACATTAAAATTTTAAAAACGATTTTTTAAATCAATTTTTCCTCTTCGACTAATGGAACCATTTAAGTTTCATTGCTCAATAACATTTACCAAAAAAGGTTTTTCAAAAAACAATATCCGATATTTTCCGATCAAGACATGAAAATAAAAATATGTATTTATTGGCATATAATGGTATTTGTTTAAATCTATGTATTTTATTAATGTTTAATTTATACCTATCGATGAATATAAGAAGTATTGTCTAGTCTTTATGACTGGCGAAGTATTATCAAGTTTTTATGTTTTGTTATTTATTAATTCAAGATAAATGTATATCAGTAGAAAAAAGCAAGTGCAAATTTAGATTGCTGCTTTTTTGTTTCCTTGCTTGTCAACTCTTGCCCACGTAATGTTTCTCTCAGACCTGCTAGAAGTACCTTAGTGCTCGCTAAAAAGAAGGCTCATGCACAAATTTCAGTCTAGAATAAAAATTTAAAGGTAAAGCTAAAGTTAAACCTACTCAAGAAAGTAAAATGTTTCAATGCCCGGCAAAGCTACTGAAGATGTCGAACGATGTGAACAATTAGTGACGTAATTCATACACCCTAATTTAATATCGTTTTCCCCCCGGTGTAATTATGTTACTTTATTTAGACAAACTTCGAAAAAGAAAATAGGATGGAAAATAAATGTGCCACAGAAATGAGCTCATCGACAACGGGGCAGGTCTGTCGATATACCAGTGTCTGTTAGGTCATTAATTTTTCAGCATATTTTCATTCGTGATATTTGCGCAAGACACTTTTCAAGATACCAATTTCAACACTTGTTCTTATGAAGTACTTATCTATGAGAATGGTTGGATCGATTGGAGGGATGGTGTCGTGTTGTCTAAAGATTGAAATCCTGGTATCAGGCCCTCCACAGAATACAAAGACACTTCTCCGTGTGTGCGTAGACAAAACTGAATCTAAATATAGAACTAGTTCTAATCTAGTCTGAATATCAAATAAAACTGAATATTTATTATTCTTCAAATTATTTTTTTCCCTTCATTCGCCGAGACAACTCATGCGCATTATGATTCAAAATCCTTTTGCTGCAAATAATGCTCTGCTCGTGCCGCAGCAACGATGGCTAACTTGGTCCCTGTGACTCGGTACGTTTTATAGACAGCAAAATCAGCAAAAACGCGACAACAACAAAAAACGGGAAAATAATTTTAATGATAAAAAAATTATCGCCATCGGCAAATAATTGCTTGCTAGCCACTAACAAATCACGATATTTTACTAAACCTCTTCCGATAATTGCTTATTATTCCAATGAAAATTTTGCTGAAAAAATAGATTGAATTTGAACATCCTTCATGCATTGTGTATATGTTAAGTGTATCCTTCATTGTGGTTTTCCTTGATTTAAAATATAGCGAACAAGAGGAAAAAATTTCATTAAGTCAGATCACTAACCTGGCTTTAGATATTGCTTTGTTTTCCTTTTACCAAATCTCATTTTAGACCTTTTGTACGAGGGAAAAAAACACCTAAATAGCCCAGTGGAACAGGTGCACGGAAGTTGTAATTTTGGAATACCTTAGCAATTAGTTTGTTAGAATACATATTTGCCAAGTACCAAGCTGAGAAGGGAAACTAACCGATTTCAGTTAAAACTGTTTTGCTAGCTAAAATAATCTACACCCAAAGCAAAGGTTTCTATCAACCACTGCCTTTCCTGCGAACCGGATTTCCAAAAAAGGGATCATTCCTAGTACTTGCCTTGTGGGCTCATGACTATTTCCTGAGGAAGTCGGACTGAGATGTTTGTAGGAAGACGGTTAGAGTGCACTCTATTTTAAGCATAATTACTTTTAGGTATCAACTTAAAAGCTTAAAGCTACTAAAACTTATCAGATTATTATTAGCTAATCCAAGGTCGAGTAAAAGATTGGACCGAGTTGATATTGCAGTGCATTGTGGGATTGTTGTAGGGGTCATATTTCCAAGATGGCGTCTATTTCGTCTCCTAAAACAGTCTGTTTAATTATTTACTTAATTAATATCATAAATTTAAAAAATATAAATTTACAATAAGTGGGGGACAAAGCTAGGCTTCAATTGAGCATAGTTTAATAAATAAGCAGGAGTGTATTATCAGGTTTAAAACTACGAGGCGTAGCTGCAAGTTTATTGGACGACTTCAAAAATTTCATGCATAATTAATGAGCATTTAGGGTCCTTATTCGTGACATGCTCTTGTAATCTTGTGGACCTTAATAAAGATTTCAAAATCTTTATATAAAGATATCCATGTTGAACTATTATCAGGTATAAAGATCCATGCACGTGATGGATTTGAAGAACCTGATAGGTATAAATGCTCATTATTATTCATAATTTTTTGAAATATAAATCATTGTAAGAAATTATGAAATCAAAGATATAGAAATAATACTTATAAATTGAGGTCCTCGAAAATAGAAAATGCTTACAGTAATTAGCTATGGGTTTTAATCGTGGCAACTTGAGTAAGAAATAATAACTCTATCTAGAACAATGTGTACACATTTTGATTGCGATCCGCCAAAAGATTCAAAACGCTTAATTTTGGTGATTATCCGTACGTAAGTCCTTGGATTTTAATTTTTTACAACATTCAATACTCAATTTTGTCATATATTCCAAAATTGAATATTGAATATTGCATTAAAAACTTTTTTTTAAAATCAAAATCCAAGGACTTACCCACACGGATAACCAGAACAATTATGATACATTTTCACTATTTAACGTAATTTGTTTACTTTTATCATCAATATAGATAGGCTTTGGTTGAAGCATGTAAATCCGTTTTTTAAAGCTCATTTACATGCCCTTCGAAAGTCAAAACCCATTCAATTCCCAAGTCAAGAAAGTTGTTTTTACACTATGACAAGCGCGTTAACGAAGAAGATATAATCCCACACTTCTAATCATAAAGATTTATTTCCTAACTTATGGTCTTATATCCTTTTTTTTTTTTTTTGTTGAAACCGTTTCGTTCCCAGAAATGCCTCGAATGATTTGGCTGCTTTTCACAACTCCGGCCATTTTTGACTGATGCGTTGTCTGAAATCATCTGCATGAACTGAAATCTAAAGATTGAACAACCACGAGAACAAAAACGACAATTTCTCGCATGAAAATCGGTGTTACACACTGACTGGTATGTAAATAAATAACATACACTAACAACATCATAACTGCTAACGCTGTCGCTAACACAGGGAAAATACCAATTTTTCTTCTACCAATCTGTATCAAGGAGAGTTTTCGCGCGTTTTCCGAAGACGCGGCCGTTCGTTTCGCTTAGAAATCGGCATGCGATCGGAAAATCGCAAAACAGAGTGGAAGAAATAAGCTTCAGCTTGCTTCAAAAATTCAAATACTTATGATAATAATCTAGAAAATATAATAAATATTATTTAAAAAAATGTAATTGGCTTGAACATATGATATTTCAGTCATGTTACATCGATATTTAATGATATAACTATACATTGTTTTAAATAATATGTAGTAAAATATGTAATATGTTTGAGGCCTCGTAACAGAAAAAAATGAGTGTATATGACAATTTTCAGATTTTTAAATATTTTTGTTTGCATTGCCTAGTTGATACCGAAAACCATATGTTAGGTAAAGGGGTTCTAATTCACTTCTTAACTATATGAAAATAAAATAGTTTGAATATGGAATGAAGAATCTAAGATTTTGTAGAAATCTTTCAATTTAGACAATTAAGCACAAGAAAAATGCTTTGTTTTGGCTCTAATTCATTTATTTTCTCGATCAATTGGCTTGATACACTTTGCATTATACTTTTTAACGTTTTAGAGTTAGTTTTCTCTTATGATTTAAATTTCTCTATACTTTTTCCACAAAATTCATCGAGGCTTTTACAATATAACGTTTGGGAGTTTTGAATCGACGACCCGTAACCAAACGTAAAGAAGAAGGCAAAAGAATACTTTTAAAGCTTTCTTACCTTTGAACAAGCTGTTTATCTGCTTACTTGTTCTCTTATCAAGTTATCTTGTACTTTATTTAGACAAAGAGTGAGAATTTAGATTCCTTATTGTCCGATAACTTCTCTAGATAACATGTATTATTTATCTCAATAGATCTTGACCTTTTTCGAGTTCCAAATTACCGCTGTGTTCCTTGATTGCAGACTCATTTAACACCCAGGGTTAGCCTCGTTTTTGTGCATAATATGGATGTGTTGTGTTCCAGTGAAGGTCCGTGGATAAAAGTGTTTGTAATGTTGAAGTTGTGCATATTTTTACTTTACTGTTAGTATTTGTGAATAGTTAGACACTGATATGAGGCTAAACCTAGGTAAATGAGTCTGTAATCAAGGAACACAGGAGTAATTTGGAACTTCAGAAAGGTCTATTCAAGGATGTGTAAAATATATAGTTTATGTTGCAATTCATAAATTTTGTTTTTTATTTTATTTTATTACGTCATTAAGGTAGATAGTAACCGAAATCAATTACTTCACATGTCAATGACAAAATATTAAAGCAGCGGTTATATCAGCTGCCGGAATTCGAATTCGAAGCACTTTAACATTTCGTTAATCATGATTTCTTTTCTCCCAGGCAATTCTTTTCGCAAAACATAAAATTCAGTCCTGTCGCGTTTTCTCAAGTATAAATGAAACATACTTCAGGGATTGTCAAGTCATCGGTACAATATTATAAGACCTATACGCGTCAAAACTATCAAATCTTTACGAACCTTCCAGTGTTTTTCTTTGACCCCCTGACAAGCATTCTATCAATTATGGCCGCTATAGACACAGGAAGTGAAAAAAGAAACCGAATAAATGGCCTTATGACGCACTATCAAAAATCACTTTAATAAGACGACTCACTAGAGTAAACCTGCCGTCTATCCAGAACCAATCACACAGGCCATCAACACACCAAGACACCGCTATTGGAAAGATCATTAACGAGATATACAGTGCGAAATAGCTTATTAGGAGGAAGTAATTTTCATTATCTTATTCAGCGGTTCAGTTACCTTTAGTAATTCATTATTGAATACAATTTGTTACTACATATAGTTCTAATGCATCTCAGTCATTAGAGAGTTTTAGATTGACTTTTTTTTCTCCCCGCAAACGGCAAACGTGACCACGCTTTCATAGTTTTCCTGTATTTTACTTTACTATTTACAAACCTTCTCACCAAGCGCAAATACTCTTTTGTTTTTTCTACTACTTGGACTTTGTTTGCGATTCTTTTTCAGTCATTTAAAAGAATTTTTTACTGGTCAGTTGACGTTTCATGTTTGCCGTGAACGTAACTCTAAAATTCTCTATTTCTAAGAATGACCTCTGCGAGTGGTGTAGACGCGTCTGGAGAGTTATCAAAGGAAGTTCTGACTATTTATTTTTATTATTTCATATTGGATAGTAAAACTACCGGCCAACATTATTATTTCTTGGTTGAATCTTGTTAGTCAGTCACATTTTATAATCAAGATAAAAATCTGCGCAAACTTTTTTGATCTGCTAACTCTCTTGTACTAATCTATATAAGTACAAGAGTACAACAGGGTAGATAGCACTGTATTGTGTATTGTACATTTGTACAACAGGGTAGATAGCACTGTACTGTATATTGTACAAGAGTACAACAGGGTAGATAGCACTGTACTGTATATTGTACAAGAGTACAACAGGGTAGATAGCACTGTATTGTGTATTGTACATTTGTACAACAGGGTAGATAGCAATGTACTGTATATTGTACAAGAGTACAACAGGGTAGATAGCACTGTACTGTATATTGTATACAAGAGTACAACAGGGTAGGTACAAAATATACGGTACAGTGCTCCTCCAATCTCCCCTGTTGTACTAATGTACAATGACAATCTACTGAGTACCCTGTTGTACTTATGTACAATGACAATCTACTGAGTACCTTATTGTACTAATATACAATGTACAGTACAGTGCTATCTACCCTATCAATCTACAGAATATGTAATCACGTATATAAGGGTACCGAACGAACGATTGTTTGACGGCAGTCTATTGCCTAATTTCCCTATCGCGAATGTTGTCTACTGAGATAAGCGCGTAGCAATGAAAACAGCGGTAATACGAGTTTTCAGGTCCTTTCGTCAATAAATAATGAAAAAAACAAAAACAAAAAAAACAATGATTTTTCAAGAATTTCTTAATCTTTCCAGATCAACAATGAAACGCCTAGAGTCTTCCTTTCTCGTACAAAGGTATAATATGTTTTTCTAAAGCTATATTAGCTCACGCTCGGTCTTAAAAACACTTCAACTTAATGGACTACTATACGACTATACGGCAGCCATCTTGTATCGCAAGTAACCTCACGTCTACATAGATGAAGCATTTCTTTAGGTGTTTCCACATTGCGTGTCAGAGAGAGCAACATCTGACAATCTCAATCTTAGCATCCTCTATCTCCATTATCAAAGGAACTTGTATATGTATATATTAAATATAACGCTTAATGTCAACATTTTATCTTTATATTGATTGATTTATTACGCTGATATAGTTTTTCATATTAACGTGTCCCATCTTTCAAATCCATTAGCGAGCCATGGGTTCAATAGTCCCCTTCACAGCTCCCTGCGTCATCTTGAAAGGTAGCCGTACCTTTGTATTGAAGCGAGACGAACGGGGAATTTGCAATGATAGAGACATGTTAATAATTTTTCAATTTTTAAACTTGCAAGCACCGTTCGTCTCGCTTCGATGCAAAGGCACGACTACCTTTCAAGATGGCGCAGGGAACTGTGAGGGTATTGTATTGGCTCTGCCGGTGAGATCCATAGAAGGAATGACATGCACACAAACACGAGAAGAAAACACACACACACATACCTACCCATATAGCTACATAGATATCTACATTCATATCAAAAAGGTTGTTAGAGCATTAAGGCGATAAGCAACAGAAGATAGGTCATTCCAGGATCCAAGAAAAGCTGGAATGACGTGTTACTCCTTGTTGAGATATTCAAGTTGTCTGTATTTGACAAAACCATTTATAAAGGCCTCGATTATTTGTGTTTAGTCGTAAGTATCTCCATCGGCATCGACATCTCTTTTTGATCCTAGGTAGTGCCGCTTCTCTAGCGACATTTTTTTAAATCTCAATGAGAGCGCAAATTGTGTTTTCTCATGATCTATCAAACGTTGACGATGTGCGATGCAAAATCAAAATCTTTTCTCGCTACTCAGACTGTAATAAATATTGACAGATTATTCCAAACTTCGAATATCTATTTGAATCTTGAGTATACTTTTGAAAATAAGGCCCTATGTGCCATTTAGTCGCGAGGACTGATACAGGGGATATAGGTACAGGGGATATAGGTATAGGGGATATAGGTACAGGGCATACTTTTAGAAATATAATATTTAACGTCAAAAAATCAGTATAGTGGGTTTCGAGGAATTTTTAGTGAGAGTTGACTTTGAAAATATTTCCTTCAAAGCAAAATTCCCTTATTTATTTGTAATAATAATATTGGTACATTACTTAATGTTAATGTAATGTACAAAAGGGGACAAACTTCCGCGGATGTTTTTTTTTTTTTTTTTTTGTATGAAAAGGAAAAGATGAAAGAGCGCACTTAAAGTCCATTGAAATCACAAAAAGTTTTGATTATACCTCGATAAAATATTCAACACAGGGTTTTATCTCAGTTTATGATTAACGATGACATATCAAGGGGGGTAAGTTCGTTTGAGTGATAAGAGAAAAATCACAATTACTTCCTCTCATGTGAGTTTTGCTTTTAATCAAGATCGTTGCGTGCGTTTTGACGATCTTGAAAATTAAAGATCAATACAGTGGCGGCCTATTTCAAGTAGGGCCGCAGTTACTGTCTATCTGTATATTTGTCAAACAGCGCCTAGCTTTGCTGGAAGTTTGGTGTGTAAATTGTAACACTGACAATTCGCAGCATTCATTTCTAAGATAAACTCTTTTTCGATTCAAGCTATTGTCGTACTCAGTCGGAAATCAAGCTTATATATTTTTCTGAAAACTGAAAAACAATAGATAAATTATAGTTATATAAATACCAGAGGTTTTAATCTATCCGGTCATCTTTTATACTGACCTCGAAATAACCATATTCTCTTGAAATAACTGATTAGGACAAAAGTATACTTTTTATAGGATCGTTTGCGTACCTTGCTCGGAAGAAGCCAAATTATAAATCAGGGAATATTAAAAAATACAGAATTGAGTTCGAAATATAGTGACCGATAAAATGATTCGTGACGTTGTCTGTTGAACTGATTTTCAATTCAAATATCGCGTGAGGAAGGCCAGCAATTAAGTTTACTCCAAATCTCAGGAAAATTTTCGATAATATTTTGTGACAAAGTCGAGAAGTATAAAGATTTTGTAACGACACCAATAACAAACTCAGTAACAACCCCACTACAAAACGACAACAACAGCAACGACAATAACAATAGTAAAAACATAAATTTAGTCACTATAAGAAAATAATAAAGTAAATTAAGGAGTAAGCTATGGAAATAGGTTATGGATTTAAGACTTTTTGAAACGTAGATTGATGCTCCTTAGACTTTCAGTCGACATTGAGTTGCAATCATTAAAAATACCTCAAACGAAAAAGCTTAATTAAAGCAAAGTATTGCGGAATTTAATTTTTCGATTATTCTGTAATTTTATGTTATCAAAATTAACTTTATTTTATCTAAGCTAGAGATAGAAAATAATTTATCATTTCAAATGAATATAAGTTGAACATTTAGTACATGTAAGACAGGCAAGAGAGATGTAAAATGCTAAACAAAAAATACTGATTTTTTCAACTTACGGTTTAGTAACCTTGAGGTCCATGCCGGTTATGAGTCACAAATGGGTTAGAAATCTCCATTCAAATAAGTGTCAGAAGTTGCTAGATGCTAGTACGTGATACAACGAAGTTTAAATGTATAAAAACACCGAGTTGAATCATAGAATCTTGAAGTTATGCTTGTTACAGATGATAGACAACTAGTCAATGGCTATGAACAAT